CCTGTTTTGGTTTTACGCATTCTGCTGATTCCGTTCTCTATGAACGAAATTCCATATTCAAGGGCGAGAACGTCTCTAATGACGCTCGTGTCTTCTTAGAGGTCCACGCCTCTCGTGACGAATTTGCATAGCGGGGTCCTAGCTCGCGCAGGGAAGGCTTCTCCGCCGATCCCTGATTCGGGCCATTTGCTGGCGACACGAGCAATGTCCGAAGGTTTCGCAAGGCTGAAGACAAAGCCTGCGGAGCGAGTTTGTTTGATTTCGAGTAACTGGACCTTAGGGAAGGCGCGAACGAATGCTATCCTCTGTTGATGTTTCTGGGGGAGAGAATTCACAAAAAGGGGGTTCTGAAAAAGAGAGCTGCTAGTGGCTGTCTGAGGTTGAGTTGGGGGGGACTGGCGAATTGCTACCGTGCAAAGAGGCACTTGCAAGCGTAGACGGTTGGGTGCGCGAATGGGAAGGGGAGAGACGGAGAGCTGCGTTCGGATTAAGAACACTTTTGAGGGAACGGATGGATTCGGAGGCTAAGGATGCAGGTTTGGAGTTGGCATGGGAAGATGGAGCGGATTGACGTTTCGGCCGAGGGGCTGTAGGCACAGAGGGGGGAGGGGGGGACCGATTCTTACGAGTCTTCCTCTTACCAGGCATTCTGTGCCTGGTGAAAGGGGGGGGGGGGGGGGATTTAGGGGGAGGGAAGGGGGGAGGGGGGGACCGATTCTTACGAGTCTTCCTCTTACCAGGCATTCTGTGCCTGGTGAGAGGGGGGGGGGGGGAGATTTAGGGAGAGAGTCTGGTGAACAGAGAGAAGAGGCTAGAAGCAAGAAGAGAGTATGAGAACAGTCAACAGTGAGAGGAGTCTCTCACTGTTGACTGTCAGTGTCTTCAAAAAGACAGTTCAGAAATGGCACGGATTGCCTTCGCAAAGGCAATTTCGCGCTGATGGAACAATGGGCCCTGGCAGCAGGGGTGAGAACATCACTTTATGCCTGGGAGTAGATACCAACCGTGGCTTTCTAAGATTTAATAGCACAAGCAGGATTCTTATAGCCAGTATTAGCATAATTAATTCCTGAACTCCGTGAATTTATATACTTTATAGAGATTATGAATGAAGAAATGACAGCTTCGACCGATCGCCTTTATGAGTCATGATAAAGTATATAAAGAGGTATTATGTACTTCTGTGAAGGTCGAAACTAGAGAGGGGTGGAAGGGCACTTTTGGTACTGTCTGGAAAGCGAGAACCATGCTGCCATCTGGTGGTCTAAATGAGAACTTCAATTCTCGAATTATTTCAAGTGCAGTTGAGGCGCATTGGATCGTGTCATCCATTTCATATGGACTCAACGTAGGCAGGGCAATATTAGGGAGACAACACTTCGCCAAAATTGGCAATATTGGTGAATCAATTTTGCGTGCAGCCGATATATGTCGAATTTAATTGCAAGCCGATCTGGAGCCTTAATCATGCCTATGTCTTTTGCCAATGATGCGCCAATAATAGGAAACTAGACTAATGCCATGAATGGACCAGTTCCTTTAGAAAATGTTGCGCCAATAACGGGAAACCAGCCTAGTGCCATGAAAGGGCCTATGTCCTCCGCCAATGAAGTGCCGAAAAATGACTAGCCAAGCTAGACCCAGGAACGGGCCAAACATGTCTGCCAATGCCGATGATCTGACCAGCTTGCCATGCAGGGGGCATTGTTGGGCCAAGCTTTATGGTTATATGGATTTGTTCTCTGTCGTTAGATCAGGTAGACATGATCATCGACGCTTAAGCGGTTCCCCTTGCCTGTCCTTACCATATATCTAAGGAGATAACCAGCCCAAATCGGTGTGTTATTATTCTACCTTTGGCATATTCTCTAAGGAACTCCTATTCCACATTTTACTTAAACTCTTAGTTTTGTAGAACAATTGTCATGTATGTACTCTATAAAAAAGACTATTTTTTTTCAAATCCAATATCTGAGAGCGGTCAGATTTCATACTTGTAGCTCCTCTTACTATCGAAATCTCACATGAAATTACCACCATAGCATCTTTGATACAACATGGAAATTATAGGGAGATAAGTTGTGACCAGAGAGCAAGTTTAACTTGCAAACGATACCTTCAGTCTATATGTTCAAGTTGCTACCTGTAGCATTCGAGCTTCGGTAGGTTCCCCTGTTTTCAATTGTGATTCACGTGCTAATATTCACTGGTTTGAAAAACTGATTATTTCCTGGGACGCAGGCATGGAGAGGAAAGCGTTATGCTTGCAAAACTGCCGAGGGTGCAGACGATTTTGAAATGGACAGATTGAACCCCAAGGTAAGTATTCAGATACCAACTATAAACGGACGCAGTATTTCATATTTTTTATACTAGCCTGTTTGTTTGCTTAATGGGCAAACAAACTCGCTATGGACGCGCCATAGGTGTTCTGGACCATAGAAAAGGTATCAATGCATTTGCAGCATGTTTCTAAAGCTCACACTAACCAATGTGGTCAAACTCATGGGGTCTTTAGACAGTTTTCTTTGTGGCTTTAAGTTACATTTGGTTGTGTGAAGTCATTCCCAGCCTAATTTTATCAGCTTTCGGAAAGCGCCGCATTTTTAATTGCATTGGAAATACCCCCTATACGGATTTCCTCAATACAGGCCCCTCATGGAACATGTGTCACAATCCCTATCCTTGAGCGAAAATGTGTTAGGTTACTCATTCCCCACGGCAAAATAGGACTTCCAGGGTGTTGGGACCCGAGTGGAATGTTTTTCACTGAAGCGACTCTTCTGAAAATAACGGCTTGGAGACTTAGTCATTACTATTACCAATTTTACCGCAGCGAAAAAAAATCATATGATACCATATCAAAGCTACAACTCTAAGGGATATTCTGAAGAGGCATAATTTTCCCCATGTTCATTAGCTAATCAGACATTTCGATTATGATGCACTGAAGGTTTTCATCCCTGTATTATTGGCATAAACTTTTAAATTGTGTAAACTAGTAATTTTTCTTTAACGATGGATTCCAAGCATATGTTAAGAAATATAGGAAATCTTCAAAAGTGACATTGAATGGCTTTCATACTCGTAAAATTATTCATTTTCACTTTCACATTCAGGCACTTTAAAATGAATAATACTGTATAATCAACAAACATACATGGATTAACAGATTACAAGGTGATGAAAACGCATTGATTTGATTTGACTGTTTTACATTTTATAAATATCACAGTTGAAAATAAATGTTGAGTGGCAATTGGTGGAAAAGGGAATCCAGATTGCCAACACTTATTATTGAAAGGAAATGAATCTAGAGAAGAGAAATCGCCCTAGCATAACTTAAGACCGACCAAAAGAGAAAACCTATTTTCGATTTAAAAAAAACTGGTGATTCCAGAATAGAAGTAAACATTCACACACAGGAAAGCAAAAACGTACAGTGAGGTACGAAGTTCACTCAGAATGTTTTGCCCCCCATTTTTTTGGCAAATATTTATTGGAAAAAGCTGAAAATTGGTATGAGTATTCTTGCACATATTTTTAACACTCTATTTGTCAACATAATCTACGTTCTTATCTATATCGTTACGCCACCTAGAAACAAGAGCTAGTATTCCATGTCGGTAGAAATTCTCTCCAGTCTCTCGGAGCCATTTTTTTCACTTCAGCAACAACTTCGTCATCATCCTTAAACTTTCTTCCACGAATGGCACCCTTCAGTGGACGAAAAAGATAAAAGTCCGAAGGAGCGAGATCGGGTTTTATGGTGGATGGGGCAATACAGTCCAGCCCAGTTTTGTGATTGCTTCCCTTGTCTGCAAACTGGTGTGCGGTCTTGCATTGTCGGTAAGGAGATGGGCATCTTCCATCCCTTTTTCTGATCGGACTGGTTTCTGGTCGAACAAAGGACATACCATGAATTCTGAGGCGTACATCGCTACCTTGAAGACACTCAAGAGACGGTTACAGCGTATCCGACCAGAAAAAGGCGTGGAAGATGTCCTCCTACACGACAACGCAAGACCACAAACCAGTTCACAGACAAGGGATGCAATCACAAAATTGGGCTGAATTGCATTGCTCCATCCACCATGCAACCCGGATCTCCCTCCTTCGGACTTTCATCTTTTCGGTCCACGGAAGAGTACCATTCGTGGACAAAAGTTTAAGGATGACAATGTTGTGGAAAAATCGCTCCGAGAGACCAGAGAGAATTTCTACCGACATGGAATACTAGTTCTTGTTTCTAGGTGACGTAAAGCTATAGATAAGGATGTAGATTATGTAGAGAAAATAGTGTGCGTTAACAACAAATGCATGGATACTCACACCAACTGTCAGCTATTTCCAATAAATATTTGCTGAGAAAAAAATTTGAGGCAAAACTTTTTGAGTGACCCTCTGACATATTTTGCACGTCATGAGGTACAAACGTAAGTCGTAAAATACGTTTGTTGAAGAGATACAGAAGCAAAATAAGGTACAAAAGTGTACCTTTCTTATCTCTATTCATTTCGTGATTAAGGGCGTTTAAATACCTGTTTGTGAACCTCAAATATCAGCTTTGAAGAGGGCTTTAATGGCTCCATCATTCGGCACCATGACTCCAACAGGCAGCTAGTTCTCACTGATATCTCTGACATCGTCTCTATTTCGCATATGACGTGCCGACTGTCTCATGGACAGTGTCCTCTCTAGTTATCAAGGAGAGAGTAGGTAACAAGACCACCATGTTTTACAAGGGAAATCTTTTAAGTTTATTGAAAGTTGGCGGCTTATTTATGAACAGAAACGATATCCTTTTTTATCATTTCCTCCCTGATCACAATATTCAGTTCATGCAAGAATACCTGAGAAAAGGAGAAAATGTTTGCGAATATAATATGCAGAACGTAGTTCGCAGTTACTATGAGACTGTGATGCAATTTAGTATAACCTTAACTCGAATAGTGCCATAGCCGATTAGACGCTGAAATTTTCATTTAATAGGGACAGTGTGGAAGAGCTGACGATAAAAGGGTTCATACATTTTTTTTAAACCCGAGCGTTCGATTGTGCTCCTTCTCGAACTCATGACTTTTCAGTTACAGTTCTTCGACTCTGGCATTTTGAAGCGAAATTTGTGGCGCCGCTCTAATCGTCTCTGGCAACTATAAGGGTTAACCTTTATTGGACGGATTTAAACCTCCCGTGTAGGTGGGCACAGTCCCATATTTCCTAAAAGGCTCGCAAGCATTCCCTACGTTAGAAATTATTCTTTTAATATCAGAGTGTTTTTTCCAAAAATTTGGGGTACAGCAATTGTTCCTTTAGGCCATGGGAAAATGCCTTCTGTGGCACAGCAGTTGCGACATTCGTCCGATAAAGGTTAATGTATAAATACATGTACGCACGTAGATGAATGTTACTATGATCGTCTTATGTGTTCTTTGCGAAGATGACAGCAGTTTCAGGAGGTATTGGGAGACATGAGAAAGTCACAGCCAACAGGGAAAAAGTACAGGAAACGAAGAGCAAGAAGGCTTCTCATATCAACTCTGCATCGGATGAGGAGGAAAGTAAGAAGACAAAAGAGAATAAAGCAGCCCAAACATGGCAGAAAGACAAAGAAATGCGGAAAGGAAATAACGAACGGGAGGAAGAATTAAAACATGAACAAGAACGTCAGAACCAGCGTCTTAAGGAACATCTTTTTAATGTCATCATGCAGACGAAGGAGAAGTCACTGAATATCGACAATTTTCTGAAAACGCTGAAATACCCTGAATACTCTACGCCAAGGGAACTTCGGAAGATTATCGAAGACGATGACAGATTTCTCTTCTCAGGAAGCTCTGTGTCGCTGTACGTCAAGTTGTCTATATGCAAGGACCATTTGAAACCGGAAGGCTGCCATAAAGAACATTGTCAATCTTTGCATATTTGTGGAAAATATGTATTTGGACTCTGCGGAGCTGCCGAGTGTGAAGAGGGGCATAATCTTAAGACAGACCACAACAACCGTGTTCTCAGTCAATATCGCTTGGAGAACATAGAACGCCACGACTTGAAGACGTTTATCGAGCAAGACACAGTTGTTCCTGATATATGTGAGGAATACAACATCAAATGCAACTGTAAAGAAGATTGTTTGAAGATGCACATATGTGCGGAGTACATCATGGGAACTTGCGACGAATGCACATTGAATCATAACATCAATGACTTGGCATTGCTGAAATTGCTGAAGCAAGCTAATATCAAGTTAAACCAATCGATAAAAGAATTGAAGATACATCTGAAGAAGAAATGTGCTGCCAGCTTGGTGCAGGTACTAAAGAAGAAGAGACAATTTGAGACGGAAAAGGAAATGCACCATGCACAATCCGTCAAATATCAACAAAGTACCAATGTGAGTTTTATGCATGTTTTCTCAGTTTACTGCAACCAAACTTGCCACAAAGCACAGGGAAGCTTATCGTTTAGTAAGTTTTGATAGACGTATGTAGTGAACGAGATGACACAGAGGAACTTATGAGAGCGGAACAAATCATTCCGGTCGACATAGATCCCAACACATTTCCATGGGCTTTCAAATTTCTACAGATCTCACATTCATTATTATTATGTCTATCAAGACGTAAAAGCAAGGAGGAGTGAATATATTATTTAACTTCGACTAAGAACATGGTTTCAAAACTAGAGCACACATAAATCAGACTCATTAACGTATCATCCCACTCAAAGGTGAACACATTGTACCATGGACCATACTACTCTATGGCATACTACTCCTTCAGATTCAGATCGGGTGAGGAGGCAGGCCACCCAGCAGTGGATATGAAGCACGGCAAATCGTCCTGGTACCAGTTTTGAGCGGCGCGGGCCTTGTGGGCCGGTGCTGAATCCTGCTGGAACCACCATTCCCCATTTTTGAACAGATCATGTGTCAGGGGGCGCATAAGGCTCAAGAATATATGTTAGATAGTTCTCCTTTCGAATTTTGACCCGTTCATCCACAAAACCAGGGAAGTCTTGCCCATCGCGGACACTCCAGCCCAAACCATCACCGACACCGGATGTTGCGTCCTCTACATTTTATTGACACCCTCAGGCAACTCCATAACACTGTTTCCATAGACCTTGTTGTTTTGCGTATTCCACTTAGCTTCCACATGGAACAGCTTCTCAACTAAAAACGGGATTCGATTCAATTCGTCAGGCGTGAACCGCTGTAGCAGAGCCCGACATTTCTTCTTACTGGCAAGCTTGGTCCGTCGGTTGAGCATTTGAGTCTTTCGCATCTTCAAAGGATTGAACCCAAGGTGCTTCTTCAGCACTCGCCTGATGGTTGTGTACGAGGTATCCATCTCGATTGCCATTTTTCGGCATAAACGCCGAGGGTTCCGCCTGATCCGTGCCTTCGCATCCTTGACGAGCTTTGCCGTGCGAATAGAACGTGGTCGGCCAATATGCTTCCTGTCACTGACACCTCCAGTTTCGTGATAACGCCTGAGAGTACGATAAATAAAATCTCGCTTGTAACCATTGGACTGGAGTCGACGAAAGATGTTCCCGATCACAGCTGCACGTTTCAGCTTCAAGGCGTCCATAACGCAAAACGGAAAGCAGTACAATATTGAAGTTTCGCCTGCGCATATATACCAGTTGGATGGAACAAATGGGAAAATAACAGATTGAGCTGAACTCTCTTGAGCTCTTTTAGCCTATACATATTTTTGCATGACATACGTATTATAATAATACGAGTATTATGGCTCACAGAGCCCATTTTAGACGCGGCGAACAGGCTCACCCATGCCTCATTAAAGTTCTAATAGTATTCGGCGGGGATGCCATCTAGAACGAGAACGTTTCCATTCTACATCGGCTTAATGCTTTTTTCCACCTCCCAAGCGTTAAGGGGGCATCAAATATCCTAGCTTCATTTTTATGGGCATATCCTTCAGTGTAGCTCCCGCCTGTCCCCTTACACAAAAACATCTTCATTCTGAAGTTCCTTGAAATGGATTCATCACCCCTCCTGGCTAATTTCTTCCCCGCCGAAACTTTGCTTCTTTCCAGGAGCTTTAGGTGTTCCCAGATTTGTTTTCGGTCCTTTAAAAGGGATGCATCTCTTAGGGAGTCGTTCAGTCTTCTTATGTGAACCCATTTAGCTTCTATCATAGTTTGGTTGCCCGAAAGTGCATCTTTGCTGCTTCTTCCAATGTTTCTGCTGTTTTCAACTGACGATCCTGACTGACTGACTGCTGACTGACTAACTGACGCTAATTCTAACCATGTTCTAGAGAAGATATAAATCTGAAACTTGGTACACATGTACCTTTTGAGATGCAGAGCTCAGAAAAAAATTCGACTTTGGAGGTACATGCCCTGGGGGTACATATTTTGGGGGGAGACGTTTTTAAAGATATATATTATGACGGGTTAGGATGGTATCGAGAGGCTTGACAGGATGTCTCGGGTTCGGTGGTGTAGTGGTAGCACACCTAACCGGCAATCGGGAGGCTCGGGTTCAAATCCTGGAAGTTTAGTGGCTTTCTTTCGGCCTCTTATGCTTTCTAAGGCGAGTTACTCATTCCATCTTCCTAACAATATTTTTGCTTTAGTAGAACAGAGAGACATGGAAAGCTGAAACTTGGCATGGACATGCCTACCGAGACGATTAGTTCAGGAAAAATGTAACATTTTAGATTCATGCCCCATGGGGGCATATTTTTAGGGGCCAACGTTTACAAGTCATTTTTTTTACACTGGCATATTGAGCTTATGTGGAAAGATGAAACTTAGTACACAACCTATTGGGATGCTGCGTGCAGAAAATTTCAGATTTTGAAAGTAAATGCCCTGGGGGCACCAATTTCAAAGGGAGATCTTTTCAAATATTTTTTTGCATCAGTTAAACTGATAAACATGGAAAGCTGGAACTTTGCATGAATGTGACTACTGAGACAAGGAGATAAAGAAAAATGTTAAGTATCGCCGCATCCCCATGGAGGAATTTTTTGCGCGGGGCGATGTTTAAAACTTTATTTATCATGGCGAATTGAACAGAAATGGAAAGGTGAAACTTGGCCCACGTATATGTGACATGATATTATAGAGTTGAGGGAATATTCAGCTTTCATGGTGCATCCTCTCCGGGCATGGTTTTTGGGTGGGTCGGCTTTTCCAAGCATGTTTTTCACCAGCAAAAAAGACAAACGAATAAAGTTGAAACGTTGTGGGTACGTAGCTCTCTGAGAATTGCTTTCGGTAAAAAAAAAATTATTTTCGGTTAAAACGCCTCAGGGGAAATATATTGCAAAAAGCGGATTTTCACGAATTTTCTTATCCATCAAAAAACACAGGGCGCATGAAAGTTTAAACGTGGCAAAAAAAAACCTGATGGATAGCTGAGTAAAGAAAAAATTATAATTTTATTATTCTGAATATAAACGATCGTGAGTAGCTGACCGACTGACATAAGTAGCTATTCGCATGCTTAGTTCAGGAAAAATTCTACTTTGGTGATACATGCCATATGGGCACACCTTTTCGGTGAAAATATTTTCAAATAGTTCTCTTTGCTTCAATCAAACGGAGACACATGGAAAGCTTAAAGTTGGTAAGAACGTGACTGCTGAAGCACTGAGCTCAGGAAGAATTTCAAATTTCCAAAATATTAGAATTTTTTTTTTTTTTTGAGGGGGGGGGGTGGAGAAATTTTTGGGGACTTTACTTGTTCCTATAATTTCTCATAAAAGGAATCGGGCAGAAAGAGAAAAGTAGCAGCTGGCGCGACGCATGAAGGACGTGATGTTGATTTAATGAAAAATTCAACTTTTGTTGTGCGTCTCCTCAGAGGACAGCTCTTGGGTGGGTCGCCTTTCCAAATACTTTTTTTTATCGACGGCAAAAATGGGAAATGTATGAGGCTGAAACTGGGTGGCATGGAGTTTCCTCAGTCTAAATTTCAGAAGGAAAAAATATTTTCGTTAAAACCCATAAGGGCACTTTTTTAAAGTCCAATTTTCCTGAATTTTTTAGTAAGCCACTGAAACAGAGACAAAAAAATTTTTAATCTCTCAGTAGTACCTATTTGATGGCTGATTACAGGAAAAATCCTACTTTTGAAATATGTCCCCTTAACGTAGATTATAGGAAGGAAGTAATTCAAAATGTATTCTCCACACTTACAAAAAGGGACACATGAAATGATTTCAAGTTAGACACACTAGAAATCATAGAAGTAATGATTTTGATAAAAATCAAGACTTTTGTTCCCATATGTCACGTATTTCAAGGAGGACATACTTTAAATACATGTTTGCCATTTCGCAAAGAATAAATTAATTAATCACAATACAAGGTAATGGAGCGCCGAAGGCGCCACCATAGCGAGTTTGTTCCGAAGTGCAAGCAAACTCGCTAGTGTAGTAATATAAGTAATGTGAAAACCAATTGTCAATGCCTTTCCATTTTTTCAACCCCCCACCCTCTCCTCTACAAGACACACATATGTTTGATCTAAGACTAACCAATAGTCGGCCTTTTGGTCACGCCAAAGCCTACCTTTTATTTTCAAAAGCATCTAATTCTCCACAAACGAGGCCAACTAGGCCTTCCACAGTGAACCCGTGGTCTGGAGATATTTCGTCCAGGACGCATAACGTTAGGCCAACCGCAGGCCTATTATTAATTTCACTAACCATTTCAGGGAGGACGTGTAACGTCAGACCAATATGAGATCTGTTTCGCATTTAATGAAACATTTCAGTGGAACGTGGAATGTTAGGCATAAGCCTAACATTCCACATGTTAACATGGATTTCCTCAACCTAACATCATCCTAATATGGATTCCCTCAACCCATCTTGCATAGGTCTGAGGAGGATATACCTCCAAGAAGCCTATAATCCTTGATGCGCGCCATCCTGTTAATTCAGGAATGCCCGAATAACATATCAGAATACTCCACCATATCGATCAATTATTGCTAACCATCGCATCATTCTCACCTCAGTTCATGATCTCAACGCGAAAATGTTTAATACATGAAAAAAATAGAGGATCCAGACGCCGATACGAAGGTTGAAGTATTCTTCAACCTGGCGTAATTTCGACACGGAATCCGGCAACACTGGAAGACGGTACTGGAACAAGTTCTGTAAGCCTACTCGAACGATAGCTCATTTCATTTTTTATGACGAAATGCTGCAGCACAAACAAAAAATTTGCCACTTGTCGTCATTACAAATCAATGCCTCTCTTATGGTTGGTCTCTTTTTTCTCACAACCGTATAGTAGTGGTTACCCGGGAGGGGGGGAGAGACCGGAACAAAAAATCGCATCAACCAAAAACGAGATTCAGTGTTCTTCACAACCCCGGGGAGATGTAGCTTCAAATTTTCTGAAACTATTCTGTCTTGAGAGAGGAAGAAGCGAGATAAATCTCATTCCTGTTGATGCTCTCAGAGAGGAATACAAGGAGGTTTAATTTTGCTACGGGATTGGGTTAAATAAAAGAAATATGCG